GCCAATTTCGAGGTTGTAGGCTTGCTCAAGCATGGGAACTGAGGTCTAGATTGTGCTCCCCTTATTCACGTTAGCCGGTTCTTACTCACATGAGTAGATGCAGTGGTGTCAAAGGGACTTCTGCTCCCCAACTGAGCTAGGCTTACGCAGTGGAGCTGTGAATTTTTCATTGTAATGCACACGCCAGAAGTGCTTGGGCACCCACCCAATGCGAACACAAACAGTCCCATATGAGCTTTCTGACCAATCCCGACTAATCAACCCAGCTCCGATGGCCAATGGCAGAGCTCGGTGGGTGATCAATCTGGAAAACTACAAAGATTAATAAAATAACGCCCTGAGATATTCTGAACCATACATTTGAGGAAACTGCGATGGGTTCGCAGCTACTCCACAAATGAAAAAAGGGACTAACATGGGCTGGGGTTCCATTGCGCTCTGAGCAGAATAAAGCAGAAAGAAGACATGATAAACAAGAAGGGAAATGGGAAGAGGGGAAAAGAAAACCTCTAAGAGGCAGGAGCAAACTGAGAAAGCCAGGCAAAGAAAGTGTGTGTGTGTGGGGGGGGGGGGAATGGAGTAGGCAGAAAGAAAGTGCAAAATAATGGAAAAATGAGCCATATCCTGAATGGAGCTGGACACCTGCTGCCTGCGTGCAGCCCTCACTGAATTCAATGGGAAATGGTAGCACTCAGCATCTCTCTGGACTCAGCTCAAGAATTATCTTTCCTCCTGAAAGGTCCCAAAGTGCTTCACACACTCTGCACACAGAACACCTCAGACAGAAAGACAGCCAGCTCTGGGGCCAGCAGCCAGGCCGAGTGCATAAGCTGGATGAGGCCTGCCATGCCAGGGCTTCTAGTACAAGGGGGAACCAGACCGACACACCCATTGACTTCAATGGGCTTTGGATCAGCTCCCAAATGACCGTCTGCCATTGAGAAGTCCGGGCACAGAGTCTGTGCTGCAAGCTACATTCGCTAACCCGCTCAAGTGCTCCCTCTGGGCTCACAGCCACATTTCTGTTGGCTAACTAGGCCACCCAGAACTGGTTCACTTTTACAAGCTGTACCCAGGGCAGGCTCTCAGCAAAGAGCAAAAAAGAAAAAGTAAAGCCTTCCAAAGAGAAACGACCAAGGCATCCTGCATTCGCAGGGTGGGGAGTGAAGGAAAACGGCTTTGGCTGAAATAGGCCCTCTTCCTTCCCTTGGCTCTTTCTTCTTGGCTCTTCCTTCCCTTGGCAGGTCCAGTGGGCGGGATCTGCCATGCTAGTGATCCACTGCACAGTCCCCACCAACACCACTAACTCTCGGGTCCAGGGCCAAACTCGGGCTCCAGGCTCACCCTGTGAAACCTCCCCAAGTCCAGATGGATTGTATTGATGCAAGTGGAGGCAGAATTTGGCCTTATGCTTTCAACAACTGCTAATAGTATAGGGTATGGAGCAGGAGAAGAGGGGGAGCGTGTACACACATGCACTGAGGTTGGAAACAGGAGGCGTACCAGCGAGTGACTGGGATCAGAGGACGTGGTAGCACTGTGGGAGCAATAGGAGCTGTAAGGATCAGGCCTGTTGGAGGTGGGGGGGAAGGGGAGGAGTTGCCCGGAGATTCAAAGGGCCCATAGCTCCCAACCACTGCCTCTGCTACTGCAGCAGTGGTGGCGCCCAGAGCCCCAGGCCTTTCAAATTGCCTCTGGAGAACCACACCATGTACTCCATGCAGCTCTCAGGGCTGTGTGGGGAGGCACACAGCGCTCCGGGTGGCTGATCCTGCCCCCACCCTTTCCACCTGAGGGCCTGCCCCTTCTGGGAGTGCAGAGCCACAACACCCCCTTGCCTGGGGACCCACAGGGGCTATTGGCTCCCTCGGTAAGGACTGGGAGTTTTCAGACTGAGGATAACAGCCAGACACTGCATAAGGGTCTTCCAACATGGAGGCAAGCTGGAGAAAAAGAGCACAGCCAGGCGCCAGCAACTATGACAGCAGGTTTGTTATGGATTTGGTTGGGAACAGGACGTGACTCAGGTGAACTCACTCCAAAGAAAAGGAGAGCAGAAACTGTCTCATAATATTGAGTGTTTGTGCCTGGAGCTCCAACGCTTGGCTTATACATCCCTGTGTTTGTACAGCACCTTGTGCAATGAGGTCGTAGGCACCACCACAAAGCAAATACATAACAAGAGCAACAAAAAGCCATTTGGAAAATGAAGGTACATGCCACATCAGCTAGAGGAGTATATCAGCTCCACCAGGGAAAATATAATCAGGGGGAGAGACACATATTGCCGCAGTTTGGGGAAAATGCTGATCTTTTCTTGCCGTGTTTCTTTCTGCTAGAGATCATGGGCCAGAACCTAAAACCCTGAGCTCTCCAATACCTACAGTGGTGGGGACCTTCTGAGTTCCTGGGTTCCCGGACTGCTAGAGCTAAACTTCTCCAGACTTTGTGGGATTTTGGACCTAATCCTAAATTTGCAACTGATTTTTTTCTCTTGATGGATCAAAGCAAAATCCTGGATCAAAGTGCTCAAAGCACCAAAACGTCAGGATCTGGATTCTGGAGCAACCCCTCCCCCCTCACACACGCACTTTAGGCTATTTCTCTGCTTTGTACACATTGAAACAAAAATATGGGAAATGTTACTAGTAGATATTCACCAGGACGTGAGCTAGTTATTGCTGCTAGAAAACATAGAACCAGGATTACAAAAGCATTAATGTTCCTGTTTAATTAAGAACATAAGAATGGCTAAACTGAGCCAGACCAAAGTCCATCTAGCCTGTAGTCTATCTTCTGACACTTGCCAATGCCAGGTACCCCAAATGGAAAAAACAGAACAGGAAATTATCAAGTGATCCATCCCCTGTCACCCATTCCCAGCTTCTTGCAAACAGAGGCTGGGGACACCATCCCTGCCCATCCTAACTAATCACTATTAGTGATCCATCCTCCATGAACTTACCTAGTTCCTTTTTGAACCCTCTTATAATCTTGGCCTTCCCAACATCCTTTGGCAAGGAGTTCCACAGGTTCACTGTTTAGGAACCCAAATAATGGCCAGATCTGCAGAAGTGCTCAGCACATTATAGTTCCCTTTGTGGCACTTTGGGTGCAGGATGGGTGCAGAGTAGGGACGTGAAGGACTAGTCAACTAGTCACTTCCTCTCCCCTTACTGCCTCTATCAGATAGAGGCAGCGGGGGGAGGGGGGAGAAGAGGCGGTACTTCAAAGTGGCAGCGCTACTTGAAGCCTGGGGACAGCCCCTGGGCTCCATACAGCACTGCTGTTTTGAAATGCCATGTGCAGCCCAGGGCCAACTGGTATGTCTCCAGGCTGCACAGGGCGTTTCAAAGCAGCAGCGCCACATGGAGCCCAGGGTCAGTGCGGGAGTCCCCAGCCGACTCTGGGCTCCACACACAGCTTTTGCCCAAGGGCTGTTGCTACACTTCAAAGGCAGAGGCGCCCTATCGACTAATCAAATAGTCGATGCAAAAAGCATTGATTAGTCAGTCGACACTTAACGTCCTTAGTGCAGAGATCTTTTGAAATGACCCCCAGTAGTGAGCTCTACATAGGGTTACCAGATGGTTTAAAAAAAATTCCAGACACACTTGATCTCAGATGGGGGGAGCGGCTGGGGGGGAACAGGGCGAGGGGGGGGCGGAGGAACCAGCCGCCAGGAAGTAGGGCTGGCCAGGGAGCATGCAAATCCCAGGGTGCTGCCCGTCCCACGCATGGTCCTGGCAGGGCGCATGGGCGAGTCTGGCCCTGGGGATTCCATCCTGCCCCGGCCCCACCTCCCTTCTCTCTACTGCGTAGTTGCGTACTGCCTGACAGGTAGACATGCTCACACAGTGTGAGCGTGTTTACAAGCCAGGCAGTACACAGCTACGTACTGATACTCATGATATTAATAACATTTATTTAATTGGAAAATACCGGACATTTATATGTCCAGTATTTTCTTAATTTGTTTCCTGGACAGAAAGCTCAAATACCAGACTGTCCAGTTTTGAACAGGACACCTAGCAACCCTAGCTCTACAGGAAATCTGGCCCCCTTTTGTACAGAGTCTGGAACCTCCCCAAAATCCCAGCCCTACAGTCTGAACCAAACCCCACTGAGGTCAATAGGCATCTCTCCATGGGCTTTGGATCAGGGGTCTTCGCTGCTTTGAGATTTCAGCCAAACATTTTTAAAAGTCCTTTCCACAGAGCTGCAGGTCTTGAGCGAGGCCGATGAATTCCAGCATGCCCTGCGTGTAGATGCTGCAACTGAACAGACCCAGAAAAGGAGTTTCATCATAGTCCGTTTGTGTGTGTGAAAAAAGGAACTTGGATTCCAAGGCCCCCTCGGCCTCACCCGAAGCCAGCAGAGGCTCCCTCCTGCTCTTGCTCAACCCTACCGCAGTGGGAATGAGGAAGTCGAGGAGACAGGGCGGGGGAGGAGGGAAGGAACAGGCAAGCTGGAGATAAACAGCCTCTGAGCCATACTGGTTGGAAAGTTTCTCTACAGCGAGAGGGCAGGGGGGCAAAGAGAGAGTTCTGTCCCCTTGCAGGAGAATAGCTCACAGAGCATCAGAGCTGGCGTGAAACTATTGGGAACAGAGACAATCTGTCCTCTCTAGTCACCCCTGAATTCACGCTGGGGTGCAGGAGACACAATTTCCAGGTTTGCTTTAGGCATTGGCAGCATTTGAAATCTAAACCCAGCTCTTAATTTAAATTACCCTGGTCTTTGACCTGAGCCCAGATCTGAAAAGCCTTTGTGGTACCAATCCAGATTTTGGGGCCCAGGCTCAGTGTCATCATGGCAATAACCAGTGTTCCCTGTAAGCTGAGCGCTTGGGCAGCCACCCAGGAGAGATTCAGAGGCCACCCAGCTGATTATCAGAGCAGCAACAGCCTCCCATAGCCAGCAGTATGTGTTTCTGTGTGTGGTGCGTATCTGCAAATGCTTTGGTGCACATAACAAAATTCATTTCACACATGCATGGGGAAAAAATTAGAGGGCCATCCTTCACTGATTCTATCTGGTCTTGCATCAGCTGTGTGCAACAAGTGTAGGGAGGCTAGCAGCTGGTGTTTCACTGAAATCAGCTTGAGCTGGAGTTGGTCCATCACCTTCCTCAGTTGGATTCAACCCTTGATAAAAGCCGGCAGTTTGCTAAGTTGCCTGTTATCCAGAACACGACATTTAGTACAGCGAAAGTGAATATAAAAATAAAGCATTTCCGATAGATGTAAAACTTTCTAAACAGCCTCAGGTTCCTGTGAGTTGAGCTCTCCTCTTCCCATGTGGTTTTGTTTTATTCACTGGGCACATCTCACCTCTCAAGAGAACATCATCAGCTGTAGGTCAGATCCCCAGCTGGTGTAAAAGGACCATTGAAAACAAGGGAGCTGTGCCAATTACACAGCAGCTGATGGCCTGACTTGCGTCGCAAAGTATGTAGCATATAGAAATGGTACCGGGAGTGATAGCATCCTACCTAATCCACTATGGATCATCCCCCAGCTCATCCACCATAATGCTCAGTTCCATATTTATTCCAAGCAGGGCAATCAAAAGTACAAGGCATTATTCTCTTAGGCTGCGTCTAGACCGGCAAGGTTTTCCACAAAAGCAGCTGCTTTTGCGGAAAAACTTGCCAGCTGTCTACACTGGCCACTTGAATTTCCGCAAGAACACTGATGATCTCATGTAAGATTGTCAGTGTTCTTGCGGAAATGTTATGCTGCTCCCGTTCGGGCAAAAGCCCTCTTGCACAAATGCTTTTGCGCAAGAGAGCCAGTGTAGACAACACGGTATTGTTTTGCGCAAAAAAGCCCCGATTGCGAAAATGGCGATCGGGGCTTTCTTGCGCAAAATTGCATCTAGACTGGCCACAGATGCTTTTGTGCAAAAGCACTTTTTGCACAAAAGCATCCGTGCCAATCTAGATGTGCTTTTGCGGAAATACTTTTAACGGAAAAACTTTCCCATTAAAAGCATTTGCGGAAAATCATGCCAGTCTAGACGTATCCTTAAAGAGCCACATTGATCCACTGGGGTTCACACTAACTCCTCTGATACCTGGGACTAGCAGACAGTGGTCATCCTTCTTATCCCATCTTCTATGGGGAAAGTTTGCTCTCAATATGCAGGAGTACAAGCAGATTTCTCTCCTCCATTCATCCTAAGGGAAAAACCAAATTCAAGGGATTACATCAGTTACATTGTCCACTCAGATAAATTCATCCACATATACAGCAACCCCCCCAAAAGCTGGTGTAGCACTCAGTACTTAGATATCTAACTAATCCTTATTGGAGCCCAGTACATTTGGCAAATATTATTAAGCCCATTTTACAGTTCAGAAGGCTGCAGCAGAGGCATTACGGGATATGCCCAAGAGCAAAGAATCAGATGGGACTAGAATTCAAAGGGCAAAGTTCAGGGGTGATGAGTAAATTGGATCTGCCTACACTGAGCCCTGGTCTACACCTTAAAACTCATACTGACACGGCTATGTCAGTCAGATGTGTGAGATTTTACCAACAGAGTTGTGCCAATATTAGCCTTCCTGTAGCTGTGCTTATACTGACAGAAAAAAGCTTTTCCTGGTAGAGCTTATGTTTCTTGGGAGACTGGTGTAAACGGTGCCAGCAGGAACACTTTTATGCTAGTATAAACTGCATCTACTCTAGTGTGCTGGTACAGCTATACAATCAAACGTTTTCTAGAGGAGGCAAGGATCTCCTAGATCAGTGTTTCTTAAACTTTTTAAAACCGAAGACTACCAAACAATATTTTTTTTATGAGGAACACCAAGGATTTTTTTATTGAGGGGAAAAAAAAAAAGGTCGGGGGAAGCAAAAACAATTCACACCTCCGACTGCCTCGTGGCACACCACTGTTCCCCGGAACACAGCTTAAGAAACACTGTCCTAGACACTTTCCATTGATATTTAACAGCCTACACACAACAAAGGGCCAGGTCTACACTACACTGTTAGGTTGACATTAGCTGCCTTGTGTCAACCTTGTAATGGACGCGTCTTCACTTAAAATGTGGCTTCTGCCAACGTACGTATCCTTCTATGCCAAGCAGGGTAGTGTCACGGTGATGAAGACAGGTCGACAACTGTATTGCTTATGTCAATTGTTACCGGCTTTCTGGAATTGATCCACGATGCCCCATACTCACAAAAGAATCAATAGAGGTGCTTCTGGAGAGGATGTGCACTGACACAAGGAGCCAAGTGTGCAGTGATTTAATAACTAGGTTCTGGCTTAGTCTGCAATACAGTGTTACGTACAGGCAGTCCCCGGGTTACATACAAGATAGGGACTGTAGGTTTGTTCTTAAGTTGAATCTGTATGTAAGTCGGAACTGGCGTCCAGATTCAGCCGCTGCTGAAACTGATCAGTTTCAACAGTGGCTGAATCAGCAGAGCCAAGCCGCGGAGCGCGTGGGCAGCGGATAACCCTGTCCGCTGCCCGCGGG